TGAAGAGGTGTGGACTTCAACTCCCAGAATTCCCCAGCCTAACTGGGGAATTCTGGGAGTCGAAGTCCACACCTCTTCGAGTGGCCAAAGTAGAAAGTCTGCATAACCGCAAGCAATAAATTCAAGAATAAAATCCCTTTGCTTCCTCCCCAACCAGATCCCCTACGTGGTTTATTCGGGTTCCCCCACCCCCCACCACCACCAACCGATGGCTCTGGAGAAGACGGGGAGGTGGGCCGGTCTCTGATTTCCCACAATCCCCCTTCCTTACGCCCGGAAGCAGGGCAATTAACCCTCTGGGGCTCATGTTGTCAGGATGCAGCAGAGGGAGCCGATGGAGGGGAAGCCGCAAGCAAAACGATGGACACGCGGCAGCGCATGGAGAAGCCGGTGGATCTCGGCGTTCCTGGCACGTGGCAAACCATGACTCTCGTTTGCAGCGGGCAAGAGGGCGGATTCCGAGTGGTTGGACCAAGATTGAAGAGCCTGGTAAGGCACAAATATGAATATATATATATATATATTTCTCTGCATTGGAAGGGAGAGGAGGCTCGGCGGAAAAACCCAGCCTTTCCCTTCTTCAAAGGTGATTTTTGGGGTGGGGCAATTTTGCCAAACTTGGCGCGGGGTTAAAGAGCCAGAGTTTGCTGCCCACTGCAGTGTAACTCCCTCCTTCTCCAGCTCGCTGGGTGAGAACAAGCCTATCGAGGACACGACTTAATTACAGGTGGTCCCCGAATTACAACCGCTGGCTTAGTGACCCTTCAAAGTTACAACGGCACTGAAAAAAAGAGACTTGGGAATGTTTCTCACGCTTACGACCATCGCAGCATTCCCCGTGTTAGCCTCAAGTCATGTGTCGAAGGCAGCCTGACTCCCTTCCCAACTTCAGGGTGGTGCTTATTAAGCCAACTTCCATGAGGAGTTACCACTTCTGATCCAACGGGTTCATAGCATAAGAGGGCTGTCAGGGGCCTTGGGGGGGGGGGGTCTTCCAGTCCAACCCCCTGCTCAGGCAGGAGACCCTGTTCCATCCCAGTCAAATGGCTCTCCAGCATCTTCTTCAAAACCTCCAGGGACGGAGCACCCACAGTTTCTGGAGTCATTCCACTGGTTAATTGTTCTTACAATTCAGCTAATCAGAATAGATCCGGAAGGGACTCAGCAGTCAGTAGTCGATACGGGATTGCTGTCAACTGAACATTTAAAGATGTGTCACAAATACCACTGACTGGTGCTAATGGCTGATATAGGTGCTGCTGGCATCCTAAGTATCAACCATTAAAATGTATGAAGCTCTTGAGTAACACAATTTTTTGCAGTTCCACTGGTGTTATTGCAGGAAGCTGCAATTCCTTGATGTGTTTTGTAAAATTCTTGGCCAGGGTACCAAGTGCCCCGGTGACCATGGGTATCACCGTTACATGCTTCATCCGTGGCCGTGTAGTTTCGATGGCCAAGTCGCGATATTTCTTGATTTTTTTCCCCAATTCTTTTTCTTTGACTCCGGCATCTCCTGGTACTGCGATATCAATAAACTGTATGCTTCGGCCCTCTACAACCATGATATCTGGCATATTGTGTTCCAAATAACAACAATAACAATAACAACAACCCACCCCAGCCTATCGTTCTGCCAAATAGCCAAATAGCCAGTTTTTGCTTCTCCCATCTTCTGGGCATCAGCAAAGAGAGTTTCACTGCAGCGGCCATCCTGCCTCTTTCGTGGAAGGTTCGCTTTGGATTTTCCAATGTTTACGTTTTTTTAAATCTCAAGCCAACCCAGCACACGCCCTGCGATGTGAAGGAAGCGCCCCCCCCTCCCTTCAAGATTTGGGGTTTTGTTTTGCTTGCAACCTCCCGGGGGGGGGGGTGTTGCTGAGGGCCGAATTGGAACTTGGGTGTCCTCCCCCTTGCAAACGTTGCAAACGCGTCAGTGGTTGCGTGGGCCGTCCACACCATCCACGGGACTTACAATGTACTCCCTAGCCTCCACGGCATAGGTGGCTCTGCCTAAGCGCCTCTTCATGTGTTCTTTGTCAAAGTACAAAGACTGGGATTGTTGCTGAGTTAGCAAAAGAAAATACAGGTGTTAAAAAAGAGAGGAGGAGGAAGAGGAGGAGCAGAAGGAAGAACGGAAAATAATAATAAAGAGAGCTACATTTATTCCTCCTTCAGCAATAAAGGTTACCTCGGGCTGGAGCGTGATGGAAACAACCCAAAGAAAGATAATTTGAACTGCGAGAATCAAACACTGCGAGAATCAAACACTGTAAAAGGGTGACTGCCAGGTTACGAACTGACACAGGTAGTCCTCGGGCTTGTGACCAGGAATCAGGACACTGTTGTGGGCTGCCAGTGACCANTATAAATATATAAATATATAAATATATAAATATATAATGCCATACGGAATCCCCCCCCCAAAAAAACCCCTCTTTTAATGACTTCTTTTGACCGATTTTTAAAAAACAAAAAAACGGTTTGCTGTTATAGCAATGGCTCATGTGTACTAAAGCATGTAAAACTGAAATATTAAGGCTGCATTTTATTATTTTTATTTTACGGCACTTAAAAGAAGTTCGAGGTTAGTCTTTTTTTTCCGTAACGGGGTAACAAGAGTTGGAAGGGACCTCAGAGGTCTTCTAGTCCAACCCCCCAGCTCAGGCAGGAAACCCTGCAGCATTTCAGACAAATAGTTGTCGACCTCTTCTTAAAAACCAGTGTTACTTCCTTTCTTTTCCCACACTTCTCTTTGTCCCTTTTTTCCCCCTTCCCCCTTTCCCCATTATTCTTCTTTTCATTTGTATTTTACATGAGGAGAATTTGAATACAAATTATATTTTAAAAATTAACTGGTTCTGATTACTGTAAAAAAAAATTAAACTTTTGTTCTAGGGATTGGACTGTGGTTAATGTTTACAAAAATTCCTTTAATTTCTCGGGTTTTTCATAGCTCTGTAAAAAAAATAGGAATAAAACAAAGCTCGTTTCAGTCCTTATTAGCTATAGGCTGCCCTAATTCTTCAGTTACGAGCAAACCTGATCACCGTATTGAAACGGTGGCATCTGTGGTTTAATCAGATTCTGGGTTTCCATGCTTGTCTTTTGGTTTCTTTTAATGACGCTGTGTTTTGGGGAGGGGCGTAAATTGGCTTTAACCCAACCAGGTGAGCATGTGAATTCCACATCTGAATTATATGGCTTGACCCAGACAATTTAGCCTGGTGGGAAAACCAACAATGGCAAAATCTGGCTACGTACGGCTGATGCCTCAAGTTAATTCCTAAATAAATGACCTATCTCCAGTGGGGGAAAAAGGGGTATAAGATCATATCTAAGTCCTTTAGATCCTCACCTTTGTCAACTTTGATCCCTTTGAAGAGGTGTGGACTTCAACTCCCAGAATTCCCCAGCCTAACTGGGGAATTCTGGGAGTTGAAGTCCACACCTCTTCA